GTCTCAGGCAGGGAGTACCACTCCAAGAGATACATGGGTCTCCCTCACAATGAAGACCCAGTTCCACAAAAACGACTGTATAATGACAGTAAAGAGCAGAAAACAAAGGAAAATAATGTGGAAATGGCCAGTTATTCTCTGTCTACTAAGTGTTTGACTTTTATGAAAAGAAAGACAGCAACAATCAAGGGAGGGATTCAATCAAGGAAGCATAAGGGGACATGTAAGGAGACCAGGACAAGGATGGAGGACCGACACCAACTGCAGGTTATATTAATGAAAGCAACTGACAACAGAATGAAGAAAATACTGCAAAACTGGATCAACAAATTCCCGCTAAATAACGACAATGCCGTTTGTGAGTGAAGCGTGCTGACTTGTTAGCCTTGGACCTCGAAATTCTTTTGCACTCGACATCTCAAAAAAATAATAAATAAAAGGTCTTGAATTCGATCTTTTGGTGATGTTTGTATCTGTACTATAAACTTAAAACTATACAAAACAAAAGATTAATTCCTAATTGCTACCAATATACATTACACGACGTGACGGTCAAAAGACTGTGATGCTGCTAGATTCAAGGCTTCTGCCGTCTTATACGTCCTTACGCTTTTACACTAAACTCAGCAGCCAATCAACTTGCATCATGTGGCAATTACGTGCTAAGGTTCCTAATTCTTACATTATAACAAATACAAAACTATTAAAATATTCAGATATCAAAAATATAACTCAAAATTCTATTAGAACTATTAATAAAATATTAAATCCGATTAGTCAATGTGCATATTAGTTACAGCACAAAAATGGCTCTAACACCGTTAATTAGATCAATTAATAACACAGATTTCTGTTAATGGCAGAGACACAGATAGGCCATCTGTAAGCACAGGCCACCTACAGGTTCACAGTCTTGCTCATACAAGCATCGACAAGAAGGAGCAAGGTTTTCACCGCACTTAAACACTGATGACACAACCTTACTTATGTGCGAGGAATTCGGTTACATAACTCAGGTCAGTGAGAAGCCAGTCGGCCGTTTCCTTAGCTCTTCATGAGGATTAGTAGGACAAGGCATTTATAAGGAAAGGGAGCGAACAGCTGATGGGCTTGGGGAGACGTTTATCATGGGCTCTGGCTTTAACTCCACTCCATCCACATCAATCTACAGAGTGGCGAAGGTGCGCGGGCTGGAGATCGATCTGGGAAGCGGAGCCCCGGGGGAGTGAGCGAGCGAGGATCCAAGGACCCACGCTAAACGCCCAGGCTAATTTTACTTTGGGGAAAGCCAAGCATACAGGAGCCGAAAAAACCTTAAGGGGTTCAGCCTAAAAGGACATGCCTGAGCAAAGCAGGACATCAAACGTTAAAGTGCACGCTGACTTAATATTACGTGACAAATTAGCTGCCGTTAATACAGGTACCAGGCACAAAAGCTAAAGGAGAATAATATGGAAACATTGTTCAACCAGTGAGATTCGAGAATGGCTTTCTTTAAACCACACCTGAGTCCCAGCAGGTGGCGTGGTGACCTCACACCACAGTGGAAGATTTTAATGCCCTCACTGCCTGATTCACTCTGTATCTGTGTATTTTAATGGTGATCAAAGAGACAGAATTTATTGATCGCCAGGTGGAGACCAGGGACAGACAGCGATTAAATTTCATTAAATATACTGAAGACCATCAATGTGTGCTTTTCGCCTTTTTGTGCTGGACCCGCTGCAAGACAAAACATCAACGTCAGCTCAAACCTTGCAGATAAGCAGGATTCGCAAATCACACATTCCTCTGCCACACAGCCTTCCCAAAAGATTCTCCCTGCCCGGCACAGAAGCCGAGGTACGCCTTAAGCCACGCACGCCGTCTTCTGCTTGGCTCTTGGTGCGGCCGTCTCACGTGAGCGACGGCAGGAGCCATCTGGCTTTTCACGGATGGGCAAACACAACAGGAAATGCACCAGACACCTTCCCTGGGCTGATTAATGTCCTGCGTTTTCAAACAATGCAAATAAATACATTGCTCTACCCCCTGAAACATCATAAAACCCACGGGCAGCGGCCTATCAAATTGCAGCTCTTATCAGTGTAGGAAGGCAGTTTTAAAGCCATAGACAACTTATTGATAGTGTAAGCTCACTTTATGATTTCCTTTCTCTTTATAAATAAAAGGCGCAACCAGGATTAGCTTTGTTACTTTATACATTTGGTTAATATCCCCATAATGCCGTTAATCCAAAGTAAAGCTGTTATTTTTACTTTACCATGAAATGACCTGGCAGATGCTGCCTTAAAGGGACCACATAATGTCAGCTATCGAATGACAGTTAATAATTAAAACAGATTCCTAGCAGCTCGACTGGGCTCGTCAGGTAACGTTTAGCTCAGGTCGCCGAGCCGTGCTTCCAGCTTCGCTGACGGCCAGCCGCGCTAGGAGAAACGCTCTGAGGGCACAGGGACGGGATCGTCTGCGAAACAGCACGACTAGCTGATTAACGAGTCACCGTCAGCTGCTCTGCTAAACACTTCGCGTGCTTGAGCTTCATTTGTGATTTTATACAAGAAAAAGGCTGAAGAATCTATGCTGAAACTTAATAATTCCAGAGAATATTAATCACAGTAGTGACGTCCCCATATCACTCCGTTCGTTAGGGAGGGGTCCGGGAAAGGGGACTGCCTTCGAAATCGGCCTTCATCCCCTCCCACCAATCTTAAAGAAATAATGAGCCAATCATTATTCCCTGGGTTCGTTCTTCCTGCAAACTCATTAACGCTCGCTGGAAAAGGGAGCCCATGTTTGATATACGCTTGGCTTCTTCGGGCTTTAAATGTGTTTTATGGGTCGAACGTAAATTGAATTGCAACGGTGTGCCTGCTTTTTACCACTAGCAGATGCAGAGCCGTGTTTGATGCTGTTTAATTGTCAGCGGAGTGACTCAGATTTGAAACGGCACCGTTTTTCATGGTTTAAGTCTGTTAATAGCATTTTCCCCCTTAATTTTTACTGAGTCAGCCTTTCACCACACCAGAAAACAGGCAGGCTGTATAAATAAGGGCTACCTACACATTCCCAACCAGCATTCACATGCTAATTACGTTGCACATCTCGGACACCAGGGGTACACACAGGTATACCCAAAATACTCGTAGAACTGCCTATGTTGAATGGCACAGATACTTCCAAATTGGGCACCAACAAAGCAAATGCACTGTACTGAAATACACACAGAAACATAAGAAAACATCCAAATGGCAGTAATAACAGTAACATCTGAATATCCAGAAGCAGCAAGAGTCATGCGTGCAGCATCTCTGAAAAGCTAAAGGCTTGCTTTGGTTACTGTGAACAAAACAAAGCAGAACATCTCTCCAAATCACAGCCATAGGCCTACAACGGCCATGAGGCCACACGTCACAACTGAACACAAACAGACAATATTATTCATATAAATACATCTTATTGCAAACAAACTAAAACCAGTTAGTTATACAACTGCATTAAAAACACAGATGTATCTATATAATTATTCCTGTTTACTGATAGACTGTCAGATTCTCTTTACAGTAATTAAAATGACATGTGGTGCAGGTAAGAGTTTACAAAAATTTATGCTATATGATAAATGCAGAAAAAAGGAAGTTTTACGGTAATTATGGGTTTGCCAAGAACATCCAAAAACTATGAATTTCACGGTTACAGTCGGATCTGAAACGCAGAGATACAGAAACAACACTGCCTCAAAATGTAACAAAAACATCTCCATGGTAGACACATTTATTAGCATAGACTAATAACTCCAGAGTGGCAGCCACTTGGTCATTCGCAGCACAAAATGTTACCGAATTACGTTTGGAGTAATAAGAGAATAAATTTTGTATGCAAAAGGAGCCGAATTGAGCAGCGATCAGGAGGCAGCGGGTCAGAGGTTTAAAGCTCACAGGCCTGCATCCACCTTTTGTTCTGCCCAAGACCACATTAAGGTGCCTACGATTACAAATACACAGCTTAAAGCACTGATAACGACTTTCACGTTACCGAATTCAAAGTTTCAACTGACTCATATCATCTAGAAGTTTATCGATCAATCAAAGACAAGAATATTTCGGGCGAGTCTGTTACCGCATGGTTATATAAACGTAAGCGATCAGCGGCACATCTACACGCGTCAATTAAAAACGGCAAAGCTTCGATGAAATGGCTATTTATCAGAAAGGAGGCAGATTATCGTTAATAATCACAGGCACAATTCAACATATCAGCAAAAAGAACTCCACCCCGAAGTCACATACACACACAGAAGAGCTTTGTGACAGCACCATGTATCCACAATTTGATTATGTACCAAACTATCAAATATTCCATTTTAAACGGCCTGATCGCTATGCGTCGTTGGAAAATTTCTGATTTCCCCTTTTTTCTGTACCTTAATGTTGCTGGAAAAGCCGAGTCTCTCCATCGGTACATTTTTCATCAGAAACGCCCCTTGGCGATCTTAAAATGGCAGCACGGAGATGTTTCTCACGACTGTCACGGTGCCTCGTTTCGCCGCGGTGTAACTTGAAAAACAGTACAGGGCAGAGAGCCCACACACGTAACCCAGGAGAAAGCGTATCGAAAACGCTACGAAAGGGCAATCGGACGCGTGGTGCCTTCCGCAAACTTTGGAGATAAACACTCAGACCGCAATCGGCCACATCAGAAAGTCACACATGTGCGTCCTCCCCAGGAATCGGATCATCGTTTTGCTGAACCGAATAAAGCGCTGCTTCTGCTTGGAAAAGCCACACATTTATCCCGACACCTCGGTTAAAATGCCGGAAGGCTGGCAGCTCCCTCTCACTCCCGTCTTGCCCATTTTCTCTTCCTTGTCTCTATTTCCTAATATGCATTAACATCCACAGCCCGTCGCACACTCACACACAGACTGAAAGTACGCCTCGACGTTTATTCTCGTGCAAAACAGTACGCGATCGACTCCGTGTATAAAGCGTAAGACCTACCCATCCATCGCACAGAAAGGAGAGCCGAGGAACGGAGGTGTCGGTGAAACCCGCAGGTCCGGGTGCTGCTCTGGAGCGGAGCCCCGCGTCTCCCCGCTTCGGCCAGAGGTGCGCTTCCTGCCGCTGACGTGAGCGCAGAAGTGCGGGCATCGAGAGGAGCCTCAGCACACAAAATGGCTTCCCTGTGCAGCAAGGCACTCATTTTTCAGCATGACAAAGGATAATGACATCCAGTATGCCCAAAGGCTGGTTTTCGCCCCGAAAAATGCATCCCTTTTTACAAAAATTATGTGACTGCGATCGGCAAGCTGAGCAACCAGGATTGATGTCTGAAGGTTTTAGATGTTCCACTGTGGCTCTCCAGGACTCAGCTGGTGTCCAGGGTGATCTGTAATTGTACAGATTTAGACCATAAGGCGATGGTGGAAGCGCAGGATTCACGCGTTTTGTTTCATTTAAGGCGCAGCTTTTCTCTCAGCTACTAGTCGCCAAGCGAGACTTAAACGTCACATTATACCTGCGCTACGAATCATCGCTACATTTAAAAAGGAGATAGTATTTCTCATTCAGACACGTGAATCTGAGTGTGTTTTAATGAAAAATATATGGTGTTGGAAAAAATACAAATACCAAAACATAATTTTAAAATTAAAATATATGAGTACAATACGTCGTAATGAATGAGCAAGGAGGGAGCTTATTGTATTTGATTTATACTTTATACTGAATTTATGGGGGAAATCCCACCCTGAAGCAGACAAAGGGATCGAAATGACAAGCTCATGTATAAAAGTCAATGTGTAATTTTACGTACTGGGCGTATCATATCACTTTTATTTTGACAATGACACTACAGAAAAATGTAGCAGAATCAAAAACCTATAAATCAGAGGCACAGATCCAGATTCGTAAATTGTAACGAACATGGTTCAGTACGGTGATGCAGTGGTTAGCACTGTCGCCTCCATACCTTTGGGTACCAGGGTTCGAGTGTCCAGTACAGCTCCATGTGTGTGGAGTTCGCAAATACCCTCCCCCCGTCATCGTGGGGTTTCCTATCCAAAAACATACTGAGGCTAACTAAAGTCACCAAGTTGTCCGCAGGTGTGTGACTGTGCCCTGCGGTGTGTTGGCGCCCCATCCCGGATTGTTCCCTTTCCTACGCCTATAGCCTATGGGATAGGCTCCGGACCCCCAGCGACAGTGAATAGGACGAGGGGTTCCATAAAATGTATAGATAAATCGAGCGTGATATCAGGAAAGAGACATTACATGACGTTTGCTGCATGGTTATATTTTTCAATCCTGAATGTGTTTCTCCCCAGTTATGTTTGCACATTGCGCTGGCCATGGGTATTGTAGTCTGCTCCTTCGGGTCTAGTCATCGGAGTCGGGTACTCCAGGGACAGGAAATATGAGCTTAGGCGGGGTTTATAGCCCAAACCCGGTTTATGGACTTAATAAGTCGTCTAAATTACGTTAACGACCCATGGCCTCGTGACAACGTAAATAATATAATTTTGCTAGTTAAGAACTATGAAGATAAAGTTATGAATGTCGCATCATCAGATGGCTCTGCTGACTATCGCGACATCTGCAGTCAATGGGGTAGGAGGGAGTTTGTTATGGTGGGATACACAATATTTTAAATACCCATAGGTCTCTTTATTGCTGGGGATCAATGAATTCAATTACATATTGAAATTAATAAAATGTTAATTTAATTAAATATTGGGGAGTTTATGTCCCACAGATTCCTTCGCATCAGTATTAAATATGCGGCAGAGGTGAACGTTTGCGCTTCTAATGACGTCATTATCCAAATGCATTTTTGTTATCGCATTGTACGCATCATTTTGTATTGTTGCTATGCAGAGCTTACATCAGCTACCAAACACAGCGCATGAGGCAGGGTACGCTTGATGGGCAACTCCCAACAAAAGGTTGGAAGAACATGCACATTCTATACGGGGAAACTGAAACCCATGTTCTCTGACATGTGCAGTTACAGTGTAACGAACTGAACCACCAGTTTACTGGAATGAAGTTTGCATTCCACTACAGATGATCATACAAATAATTAGTGTTATCAGCTGTTTCTTGAAATTAAGAATTAGCAATGTAGTTATTCTGAGATTTAAGAGACATTTAGGCTTGGATTGAGGGGTTAATCGCTGAGTATCCATTTTCATTTCCCTGAGAAAGAGAAAGCTTTCAGAACAGGTGTTGTCATTCAAATGGCCTGCTTGTGGAGGAACTCCCCACACTGGCTGGACTGGCCTAGCCACCTGGCACACTACCTGCTCTAAACCACACTCCATTGTCCTGCTCCAAAAGTGAAAGGCGACATTTCAACCACTACAGAGAAGAATAGACATTTATTTTATTTCTGTATAGGGTCACAGTGAACCTTGAAAGTATCCCAGACACCCTAGACTGGATGCCAGTCTATCACTGGGCACGCAATCACACACCAACAACAGTTTAGAGATTCTGATTGATCTAACTGCATGTTTTTAGACTTTCTGGAGGAAACTCCAGACACAGTGGTGACTCCCCCAGCCCAGGAGGTGTGAGGTTATCTGAGCCACCGAGAAAGTCCCTTAAATAAAACAATTAATGTAATTAGACAGTGGTATATATTGATTAATCAACACAGACATAGAGCAACATAGACCACTTCTATCTTTCATTGCATATGTTCATAATGATTTGTTATAGACAGACATGCTGTTATTAGTTGTTTAGAGCAGTGTTTCCCAATGGGGACTTTGAGGACCCCTACTGGGAACTGGGGGGAGCAAAAACACGGACTGTAGGGGGGTCCCTCAAGACCAGGATGGGAAACACTGGTTTTGAGTTATGCTTGAACCCAAGTCTGTTTTACCACCCACCCAACAACATTTGGATTTTGAAACTCAACTTAAAAACTAACATTTTAAAAAACAAATGAACCACAATAGTATAACAGAAATCAGCCACTAATTAGCATATATAAAATATGAGACAGAAAATCTGGGAACATACCGGTAAGATTACATTATTCCCTCAATCAGTTTTGATATTTCATATTCTAATTGGTCTTTGCAACCTTCTCAGATGTCAATGGCACTGAGATGCAAATCAGACATTCCTTTTGCTCTCTTGGTCTCAGCACAGTGTTGCTGTGTCACACCAGAGGGTGACAAGTAGCAATGAGTCCTGGTGAAGGCATTTGGTTAATGAAAATGAAATTGGACAGATTGGGAATACCCCTGCTCATCTGAATGTTCCTTTGAAGTTACAGGGTACAAGGTAGTGAATTTAATTAACCTATCAGGGTTCAGTGAACTTTGTTACTTCTACAATCTTTCTTTGTCATTTTTCTCAATGGATTTACATTGTGTTTTTCTTTACAAGGATAAAGTTAAAAAATATGTGGATTAAACCCACTGTGTGACTCCACATTTAGTACCATCAGCCTAATTTAGTCCAAAAAATAACAACTTTATTCACAAGATATATACAAACACAGGGTTCATGAAAACTCCAGTTATTCTTTGGGTGATGTGCAGCAAACTGATCTCATCATCCCCTAAGAAGGCAACCCATTTAAAATTTTAGGTCTCATTTTCACTAACCAGTGTGCCAAGGATGTGTATAATAGATGTGAACATGCAGTGTCATGTTCAGCTAAATGTGCCTTTTTAACTGGAAATGAGGTCACTGGTCTAACTTGTATGTTTTGAAAATCCACTTATACTAGATGTATTTTCAGGGGTGTCATAGAGGATCCCATGCCGTATCGTCATTCCTACAGTAGATGTCATGGTACGAATGACAAGCGGCTGACCATCTCCTTAAATCTGCCATCAGCAGCAGAAAACAGAGATTGGCCTTGGGGTGTCTATATGTGTAGCACCTATGAAACTCCACAAGAATACAGGCTTGTGGAAGTATGATCGTGTGTCATAGTTGAAGCCATAATCCACAATCCCACGTTGCTCTCTGACAGAAATGTTTGCTCCTCTGACTGTGTCTGCTGCTCCTACACAAAGCTGTAAAGTTCAGTGCACGTCATCCCTGGCAAAGGCACCAAAATGGATCTTGGAATGTTTGGTGTTGTTGGTAAATGAGGAGTGCCTGCCCAGCTTGTTGAGCAGGAGAAAAAGTCATGTGAACAGTCATGTGATCAGTCATGTGATCAGTCATGTGATCAGTCATGTGAACAGCTTGTCTCTGACTACAGCCTGGCTGATCATACACAGTTCCATTTAGCTTTAAAGTAATGTCATCCCAACAGTGAGTTCTGTTATGGCATAAATTATAATTATTTATTTGGAATTAAATACAATACTTATTAATTCTCCTGAGGTTTATACAACATTTTAATAATTATTGGGAACTCTGTGATTGATAAAAATCTGCTCAACAGCCCTCAGTCCAAAGGCTCATATTCTATAAGGCACATTCATATTTGTGCTTCAAGAAAAATTGTGAGAGTTTCAGGTCATGGATCATGCAAGCACAACAAAAAAAGAAACATATAAATGTCAAAATGTTGGCTTACTGATCTTCTATGATGACTGCAGTTTGTTCCAGCCAGAATGAAGACTGTCTGGTGAAATACTGAGTACAGTACCTGAGTACTGCTGTAGTGATGGAGCAGAACATCCAGAGAAACTCTTTTAACATATCTTCAAATACTGAGTACAGTATCTGGATACTGTTGAGGTAATGGAGTGGAGCATCTAGGAAACTCGCATACCAAATTCAATCTCTCAGCAGGCACACACACATGCACACACACACACACACACATGCATGCGTGCACACACACACACGCACACACACATTTGTATTCATATCTTTGTGGAGACTGTCTATTCATTTCTTTTGGAAAAATCCTAATTCCAACAATGTCAACCTTAACCCCTACCCAGCCCTAAACTTAACCATAAGTAACCAAAGTACAAGACTTTTGATTGTTAGTTTTTTCATTGCAGTCACAGATTTGTATAAAATTAGGTTTCTCTTTGTGGGGACCAAAAAATATAAAAGGTTTTTTTTTTATCACATTAATGTCCCCAAAATGTAATGTATACTGTACATAACACACACACACATACACTGAAAAAGACTTACTGTTTATGCAGTATAAATAATACAAATACACAAAGGCTGGTTGATTCACAAACTGTAAAAAATAGCTCTTTCTTAAGCTCCATCTTACTCTATACTCTCTCATTCATTAGATAACATTACACTGCTCTCATTTGTACCACTCAGGATGTCAAAACCTGACAAAATGGGTATTTAGGAAGTAAGATTCCAAAGGCTGTCAGCTAATTCTTGGTGCCACAGTGGCTGCTGGAGCCTCTGAGCCCTTGTCAGTCTTCTGGAAGCCCCCAATGATACTGGGAACCTGCAGGCCTGCGGAGAGCGCCAGCGCTCCACACCACACCTGCAGGAGACACACGCATCTATTAAACAGGATGAAAACGATGGCAGTGCCATTATTGCAGGTCAGTGCGAGTCTTTTTTCAAGATTACTGCTGGTTTCCACTGTTGTTTTCTGACAACATTTGACTCATGGAAACATCATTACCATTTAGCCATTGTGTCTTTGCATCTGAAAGCATTTTATGTGCCTTTGATCTCACAAACAAACATCCTCCCATGAGACCCTCCGCAGCATCTAATGACAGCGGCCTCTATGTTCTTTACTGCCAAATCTAGACAGTTTCACAGGAGAAGGATGCTATATTAAGTGGTCATTTTGTAGGGAGGTTGTGAGGTCAAAACACATAATTCTATGATTTTCTTTTTTGCGGAAATGCATCAATTGCAGCATTTGCATTCAGAATGTTGGGACTGGACACATGGAGATTTTTGGAAAAGAACACCCAAGAGGAATGAAGGTACGAAGCAGCCTTGCGACCTGATTCTCCCTCCAGAGATAGGTAGTGAGCACCCCCACGGAAATAAAGGTACATTCTTAAAGAGAACATCCGGCCCATTCTGTAGCATATGTGGGTCATACTAAAACTCACCATAAAGGCGGGTATAACAGGCTGGATGAATTTAGTCTTGAATGTGTGGAGTAACTGTTTATTTTCTGCATTGTAGAAGGACAGCTGACCTGGAGGAAGACAACATGTCACACGATCACGTCCAATGCAGTGCTTAAGACCACAAACCTTCATTACATCCCTGAGGTGGTGCTAAGTATTCAGTTGAAGCCAGAGACCAGGCAGGTCTCTCATGTTGTGTCTGATGTCCGTCTGCTGTTTGTAGCCTGCTGTTATTGCTCTGGGTTTAAATCTGACAGGAAAACCAGGCTCCAGAACAGCAATTTATTCACCAACGCTGGGGCATTGAGATTAGTTACTAATGTGTACACAGTACAGGGAAATTCCTTCTTCAGAATGTACTGCCACAAAGTACACAAACACGCACACATACACACAAACATATATAGATACAGATCAGACACAGCATTCATGATGTCTATTAACAGAAACTCCATGATTATGGACCAGCAACCCAATCACCATAAACTTGCATTATGCTAAGACGTATGTGGAGCTGAAGATCCTGCAATGGCGAGTCAAACTAAACCATCTCATTAGCAGCAAAAAGTAAGCAAACATACTGCAGCTTTGCTTGGAACAAAACAAGGCACACCTTAGATGTCAAGAACATTTCAAACTGGATTTAAGGAAGTACTTCTTTACACAGCGTGCAGTCTGGAATAGTCTTCCTGATAACGTAGTGCAAGCTGAATCCTTGGGTTCCTTTAAATCAGAGCTAGATAAGATTTGAACAACTCTGAGCTATTAGTTAAGTTCTCCCCAAGCGAACTCGATGGGCCGAATGGCCTCCTCTCGTTTGTATAGTTCTTATGTTCAAACAAGTGATCCATGGGACGAAAAACAGGAGATCACTGAAAGTGAAACTAAAATAAGAGAAGTACCTTAGTTTATAATATTCTTACACCCAGAGCACACCCCACAACACTGCAGGCCATGAAAATCTCACACTAGACTATTTAATTTCATTCAGTATACAATTTAAGGTTTGGGCAAACACCATTTGTGATTTTGGAATGGTTTGGAATGGTTGGAACGGTTGGTTAAGAATGCTAACTTCAAGTATTACCCAGGGGTTTTACTGAACAATAGCCCAGTAACGTATCCAACGCAAGTACGGACAGGTAATGTAACATAAGCCGCCCCAAGTAAACAGATCCTAAGGCAAATAAAAACCGGAGACTTTCTGTGAATCTAAAATCAAAACCAGGGCAGGCCACAGTAATTGTTCTGTTGCTGCTACTGGCTGCGGCTGTCATATCTGAGGTTTCACATGCATATTTTTATCAGCTTTATGAAATCCTGACTTTGTGAACAGTGTCTGATGGAAGAAGAGCACCGAGATGCTGGAGAGGCAGGCAAAGTGGTACTCAGCAAAGAAGCCTAACTTCTCTGCTTAAACCTGAACGGCAAAGTACCGTGCTGTGCATCCTGCAGTAGACTTCAGGCCCACCCCAACCCTGCATTGAGTAAGGGGCTATAGACAGTAGTGGTAGTTGGATAAACAGCTGTATACACAAAAGAAAGTAGTATTAGAGTAATACTGGAGTTTGACTTTCCCAATCCTTACCTCTGTCGAAATCGCAGTAGACGCCAATCCCATCCGGAACCGGGACTTCAAGACTTTTCGTCTTGTTGTTGTGCTTGGCAGCTAAAGATGTCTGTAGCCAGTTGTTGACATGGACACACCATGAAGTGTTCGTCTTTCCCAGCTGGTCAAACTTGCCGAAGTTCTTGTAGGCCACTCCCACGCTATAAGACTTATAGTCCTTCATTGCCTTCACTTCCCAATAGTGCTGTCCACTGGAAATACTTTTGTCACCTGAGAATGGAACGAACGCTGAGGTAAGGTTACAGAAAACTTCACAGGAGCTGTGCGAACGATCCTCCGCAGACCTAAAGCAGCACAAACTCTTCTTTCACCAAGACACTGAACTTTCGCCAGAAAGGTAAGTAAATAGATCATATAAAGTTTACTGATCTGTCCATTACTCATTCTGCATATTTATAGTAATGTTTGCATTGTACTCAACAAAAAATGCATGCAACGCAAGCCAGCAGCATATATTAGTGTCCTTTTAGTGTAGGATATATTATTGAAGGCTCGAGTGGGCCTTCTGTATTTATCAAAAATAAATTAAATACAGGGTGACGTATTATATACATTACATGTACAGTCACATATTGTACGCTGCTAGGGAATGATTACCCAGTACTGTGTAAGACTCTCCTGTAAACCGGTCTCTTCCCCTGGCTGCAGGTGCTCGTGAGGTAGGCCTAGTTCTGCTGGGAGATGCTGTTCCACCACTGTGGACAGAAAGACAGAACAAGGTGGTACTATTTTATTGATTAGTTGTTAGTTACTTAATATAGTTTAGCTACCTGGTCAACATCGATTAGCTGTCAGCTACCAAAGATTCCAACCCAGTCAATATCCATTAGCCAACAAAAAAGATGAAAACCCAGTTAACATCAATAAAAACCAAAAAAAAAAATCATCCATTAAGTACCAGTGATTCCAAGCTGGCCAACATTAATTACTTGTTAGCCATAAAAATATCAACAAAGACCACAATCCAGGTAATTCTGACTAGCTGTTAGTCATTAATCACAATCAATGTCAGTACATAGAATCTAAGCGCCAGCACAATAACCAGACTTTGTGTGTGCAGCTGTGCTATCTTCCTTTTTAAAAGCTAAAGCTGAATAATACAGGGAATAAAACTTTATTTTATTACTAATAAGAGTCAAATAAGCTCCTGGACAGTCGGAAGAAACCAAGAGCCTGGAAAGAATCGCAAGAGCCATGTGTTTGCTTTTACAGTGAAGCTTTGAGTGTAATATTACTATATACCTAAAGGAAACCACAAAAATAGATAGTTTTCCTTCTGTAAAGTCAATAAATAACGGATGAAATTGCTGCTCCCTCAGAAAATTATCATTACAGACTGGATCTCTATTTCCAGTGCAAGCCAAAGCCAATCGAACCCGGGTCCACTCGTGAACTGATCTGCTGGAGGAAATACATTTCAATATGAGGTCCACCAGGGACAGCAACTAATAAACACGACATGCGGCAATAGTAGAAAAACACTTCTTCCCAAATGTCAACTTCCCTGGCTGTGCACGGCGCCACTCCTGTGGATTCTGGGATATACACCCAGTAAACCCTAGGTCTAACCTAAATATTACATTCAAGTCTAGTTAACAGATTTCACAATAAGCTAATACAGTTGTTGAGGTATTGATTTCCAGCTTTAAATAAGAGCTTGTTTTTCTGTGAGGGAAATATCCAAATTTGGCAATGTGCGTAAAAGGAAGTGTATCTGAAAAGCTGTTACCCGCCCTTGTTCTCTTTGCCCTTAACCTTGCTTTCCAGTTTGCCAGACTGTGGATCCCATTCAACTCTTTGGTCCTCGACTTTCAGGTTGAGGTGTGAGGATGTGGCATCCAAGTTGAAATTAAAAGCTAAATGAAAAGAGTGCACAAGTTAATAGAACAGAGACAGCATTGACTTTCCGTATTTTACTTCATAGTGTCCATCATTGCTTCATAATGAGAAACATTATTTGAATGGCATGACATGTGAAAATGTGACTGAAGAGCAAGCCTGACCTCTTGTCTCTAAGGTGACGGGATCAGAGTAGTCCCCAACTGCAGCCTTGTTACATGCTCGTATACGGAAGTTCATGAACTCAGAATCAAATATTAACCCTGAAAAAAGAATTTCTCGACTTGATATTTTGTAAGGTTTCCCAGTGACACATAAAACTCAAGAGAAAATGGGAATATGTGCCAGGCTGTATTATGTAACCACTGGCAGACAGTTTTCTCCAATAGAACCTACAAAGTGAGCTGTGACGTACCTGTCAGTGTGAATTTTGTAACTTTCACATTATCCGCCACCTCCCAGCAGTATTCGTCTTTCACTCTAGGCAGTCCTTCGTGATTTGTTTTCCGATACTCCAGAATATAGTGATCGATCTTGCTGTCTTCCACTGGCATTCTCCATGCAACTGTCACTGTGTTGTCGGTAACAAGGCAGCCCGTCACATCAATCTCTGGTGCTCTGGGCACTGAAATATAGTTGCAGACATGCATTAATGAAATTTATACGTCTACCGATCAAAGACACAAACTAGCCTGACCTTTGATGCGATCTAGTTCCTTATAGCTTGGAAATTATTGAGGAAAAAATGTACTTTTTCTAAGTATGTTGTCATGGTGTATCAGAAGTGTAAGAAAAACAAGAACAGTACAGTGGTAAACAGCATTTCAGTAAATATGCCTGGATCCACTGTGCAGTCCACTCTGGGGATGTAAGGTCGGTGTATTTACCGGGCAGAAAGCTAAGCTTTTCCAGCATTCGTCTCTCTTCAGAGAAATCAACCGTCAGGTAAGACATGTTCGCTGTAGCTTTCAGCTTCATGGTGTGACGAAACGCTGGAGCCACAGTCACCCTTGAATGACATAAGTGTGCCATAAGTCACGGCGCTTCCCAGATCTGAACAGAAAGGGCTCACGCACCACCTGTGAGGCATTTCCAGCAAAGCACGCTAAAGGGATTAGCATAACCCCGACAGAGAGCTCATGCATGCTGCTCTCATACATGCAGTTACCTTTTCATTAATGTCTGATAAATACCGTATGAACATTTCCATGAGGACCTCGTGTTGACAGGCCCAGCGAAATAGTCTTACTAAGGTGTGTCTGTGTGTGATAATTGAGTCAGCAGGAGCTTGCGGGGGGGGGACTGCGCGCTGCGGGACACGGTAGGATATGGCAGGATCCAGGGCTGGCAGCACTGCAGCCCTTGGTCTCCAGTCCCACTGTTTCTTTCTTTAAACAGTGCCACCATATAGCGTTTCATGTGTCTTGGACAAATTTGTAATTCCACTATAATTTAACAATACAAAAGCGGTTTGGGAGATGAGGCTGAAATCAAGTTTGCCGCCCTAGGCTCAAAGAAAAACATCCTGGCCTCAGCGCTGTCATTTTTATTCTGCTGCTATTTAATGGCTTGCCCTGGTTATACGCGTAAAACAAAAATCTTTAAACTATTAAAGAGCAAGATTAGATAATACCATTACAATATCTATGATGTTAGGTCTACTGTGTACAGCACTGGAAAAAATTAAGAGACCATAGCAAAATCTTTATTTTCACATTTATCAGTTTATGGGTATGCTTCTGCGTAAAATACACATATTTTGCAAAATCCAACCTGGCTCTTCCCTGTTTCTCATTAATGAAGGGCTTCTTCCTTGCTTTATGGGACTTCAGTCCTGCCTCGAGGAGCCTGATACAAACTGTCCTAGCAGAGCACTTCACACCTGCATTTAATGTTTCCTGTTCCTTTTGAAGGTCACTTGATGTCATCCTATGATTCATGAGGGACTGTTGGATTAGTTGATGGTCATCTCTGGCATTAGAATGTCGCCTCCGCCCTCTACCTGGCTGGTTTCTGGTTGTTCCCAGTATCTCCTGCTTCACCTCGTTCTTATGTACTGCTCTCTTACAAATTTTGAACCTGGAAGCAACCTGCAGCTCAGTGTAGCCTTCAGCCAGCAGAATCGCGATTAAACCAGGATTTAAAAATGCAGATTTGTTTAAAAATATAGAGTGGTCTCTTAATTCTTTTCCAGCGCTATATCTTTGAATGTATTTTAACATTAACAACATGATGAATATATTTTAACATTATTGAAGAAATAATATCTGTTATTAAACATATCATGACAAAACAGTGTGGTTGCAAAATGTACCAAATCTCCCTTCTAGCATACTGTATAACATGGTTCATTCTTTTTTCATGCCCAGAAACATAATTAACGTTTTGGTGGAAAATAACATGTTCAGAATGGGTTGATGATGCTGTGTTTGATTCCTGGCCATGGATGTGTGTGAGGTTTACAGTTTTCACCATGTGTTTGAGCTGCATTCCTTCCACGATCCAAAAACATGACGTGTGTCAGTGTGTGTGCCCCGTTAGTGAACCTGACAGGTAATTATTTTCTAATCACCCTCTGAAAAGACATTAATAAAACGCTTGAAACAGGAACAGTTTACTGCATGTTACATAAACTTATAGCGACATCTTGCGGAAAATATGTGGAATTGCACCATAAAATGGGCAACCGCGGATAGTTTGCCTGAACGGCCCCAATGTCGTTATGACCGCGTCATGAGCCTGAAGCCCCGAATGAATCCGAACGAACCCTGAATGATTTGTTTAGCTCAGTTGTTTTACCAACCATGGTCTCAGTTTGAGAACCCTGCTCTCTCGGCTAAGCCTCGATGTCGTAAGATCCAAGCCCACCATTTAATTAAGGGCTTGGTATTCATAAACTTTCCTAGCTTTTGTCCTTTATCACCGTCTGCACTCCATTCACTCAAGGTCAGGAGAAAAGAACAACATCATTACAATAATTAATTTTAATGCCACAAAATGCCAAAATTATACGGCATGGATCACATGTAAAAACACAGGTAGCATTTGTAAGTCAAGTTGGAAAACAAATAAAGCTAAACACATTGTTTAAATGTATGACTTGGCACACCATATCATTAAATTACAACGTTTTTAAAATGAAAACCATGCTTCTTTGATACAGCCAGGGTTACTGGCAATAGGAAGTATCTTTAACCCTGAATTATACATAAGTAACAAATCATGCACATTTTATTATATTAATTCTTTGAGCCAATGCCAGTTTAATAATGGTTGTTACACTATTTAATTTTTGCTCATTCTTGCTTGGTTAGAGTTATCCATTAAAAAAATAACAGGCTTCCATCAGATTCCATAACAGCCTGTATCAGATCAGTTCCACCAGGGAAGAATACAGCTTATTCCCCAGATATTAGGAGTCACTCACTACTCTTAAGTAGCACTATCAGAGAAGAGGACAGCATGCGGGAGGAGCCAGCACAGCATTAAGGACAGGCATCACCACCTCAAGGTGACCCCTGTGAGGCACGGGGGG